CAGGGAGCCCGATGCGGGACTCGATCCCGGGACTCCAGGATCATGACCTGAGCCAAAGGCAGTCGCTTAACCAACTGAGCCACCCAGGCACCCTATGATTTCTTTTTCAATTGGCTGGCTTCTTTCAATAAATCTTTCATAGAATATAAAGAAATGCTTTTCCCTACACTAGCATTTAAAAAATATCTGCATTTCACAGTAAAAAGTAAGTGCATGACATTTTCAGAACTGACAGGTTAGCGAGATAGCCAAGGGCCAGTCATGGAGGGCTGTATATAGACTTTGGATTTTATGATGCCTTTGTTGAAATACTGATAAGAATTTATTTTAGCTGAGTGGTCCATTTTTATTCTAGGAAGGACTTTTTATGTTAAAAAAAGAGCCCACTGGGGGTGCCTGGGTGGCTCAGTCAGTTAAGCGTCCGCCTTCGGTTCAGGTCATGATCCGGGGGTCCTGGGATAGAGCCCCACATGGGCTCCCTGCTCAGCGGGGAGTCTGCTTCTCCCTCTCCCTCTGCCCCTCCCCTAGCTCATGCTCTGTGTGTGTGTGTGTGTGTGTGAAATAAATAAATAAAATCTGTTTTAAAAAAGAAAATTAAGAAAAAAGAAAAAAGAAAGAGCCCACTGGAAAAGTTTTTCCTACCATGGGATTGAATTTACCTGATCCTCCACAAGTCCCACATCCACTCCCACTAAAATAAAAGTTGTAAATAAGGGGATTTCCAAAGTGCTTGTAGTTCATCTTGCAGTGTCAGCCTTTATTTATGTTTCTATTGAGGAAAAACCATACTATATCATATAAACTTTAGTTTGTAACACATGGAATTTAATAATTTTTTTTTAGTCCATGTTACAACATAGAAGGGAGGATGTTGGTTCTGAAAATTTCATGTACTAATTTTTTTTTCTGTAAATTGTAGATATTTTGAAAATGCTAGTGGAGGAAAAACCCTTTTAAAAATATTTTCATGAAAGATTTGTTGAATGAAGTCAGACAGTTGAAAAGGAAATTAAAAAAAAAAATACCAGAAGACTTTTCAGCAATATGCAACAGTATCTACTTTGGTCATTTGTAAATCTTGAATTCACCAAAGAAGATGTGGCTTAACAAATTCATTCTGTAATGGTGTGCAACACTTCTTTATTGATTGTAGTAGTAAACGTTGATAGACAAAAAATATGTTTTCTGAAGTGTTTTTCTTAATAAAATGTGTCAGTCAATAATCTGTGGTAGGAATAATACTTCAACCAGGCCCTTCAATTTGAATATTTTAAAATATGATTTTTAATGGGTACCACATATTAGATATTAACTATTGATTGACATTTCCTATAGCAAATCAAAAAGCCTTGAAAGTGAAAATGTAAAATCAGTAATTCTAGAATGCGTAAAATTTAGTTTGATGTTCAGGCTTAGCTGAACTGCATCTGCTCAATCCAGTGTATTTTTCTCCCTTGATATTCTGCATTATACCTTTTGAATATTAATATATTATAATCTATGCTGCATAAAAAAAAGCTGTGTTTACTTTCTTGCTTACCTTAGATTGTGTCAGTCTAAACTCCTTCTCTTTCTGCATTCTGTACTGGTCAATTTCTGCCATAGCTTCTTCTTTAGCTTGCTTCAATCGCTTTTCTTTTCCTGAATATTAACAGTGGCATAGAAGGAATGATTTTTTTTTTTAAATAGACATGGAATTTCAAACTTGATTTCTAAAAAAAAAAAACAAATAGGTGAGGTCTACATTATTTTCTTGAGAAATTTTCCTAAAGTGGCAAACTTCATTAAAAAACAATATTGAAAAATACCTTATTTTTTCAATTGGATTTTTCAGAACGTGGAAATGACAACTTTCTTTCACACTTACATGTTTAAATAAAATATCTGCCCATTTACTCACAGCAGTAACAGCCAGAGAACAGATTTTAGCTGTCACTTATTCGAAAAGACATTATTTGGTCAGATTTTCTGTCCTGATTTGCTGCCAGGAATCCTTCAGTCCACACCAACTGGATCCTATTTAACACTGGCAGATCTCCAAAAGCACTACAAACATGCAACTCAGACTCTATCAAACTGACTTACAATTTTTTAAAGCATTTTATTGGGATTTTTTTTCTTAGCATTTGTTGACTCTAGAATGTCTGATTAAGCCCCACAGCACATCAAAGTAGGTATTTTTTTGTAGTAGCTTTCTCTGAGGGGGACTTGAAAGTGGCCATAAAACCAATTGTTTTTAATGGTTAGGAGATTTAGTTAAATAGCTTTCTTTTCTTTTATTAAGAGCAAAGGTGTAAGCCTTAAGCCAGCAGACAGCGATGTAGATGAAAGTTTCAGACAAATACAATGCTGTAGGGATCATTAACTAAGCACATGACTTTTTTTGACAACCAGAGTAAATTTGGAGGTTTACAGACTAATATTAATTGTTGCTATGCCCCCATCCCCCACCACCTTCAGGGGGTTAAGTCCTAATGCTTTGTGATCAGTAAAACTTTAAAGAAACTCTGAACTGTATTAAAATTTTTTTATCTGAATCTATTGTCTTTTAATTTCAGTTAAATCCCTTCATTCTTTTGCTTATTTAACATTCTCTGATAATGTCTCAAGCCTTTGTTTATAATTTTTGTCAACTGTTATACTGTGTAGACTTTGAACAAAATGTGTTCTCATTAAGTAGCATAAAGCAAAATCTTAACATAAACTTCTGTCATCCACATACATGTTTTTATTTTTAAATAAAATATAATAATATATTATATATGTTATATATAATATAATAATAAAAGCATATAATATACGCTTTTATTTTTATATATCTTTGTAGCATTTGAGTGTAAATAGTTTCTAAATTTCTCTCCCTGCTAAACATGAGTTGCTTTGCTAGTTGCCTATATATATATATATATATATATTCTATTTATTCTATAAAGATAGATTCACTGAGTTATAAATTGACATGTGTCCTTTTAATGCCTATTGTCTTTGAATAGAACTGAGTAAACCTCATTTAGAACAGATAGTTAGCTTTGTCTTTACTCCCTATAAAATCCAAGATCTGATGAAATTTAGTGCTCTTCTGATGCTTGAGGCTTAATGGAACATTAACAGCAATGCTTACCTTTTTCTTACTTAATGAATGCTCATTACCATTTTCTGTATACAGATGCCTTCATTCTCCACATTTCTGACCATTTTGTGGGAACCAAACACATACTATTCACAGAACAAATACACAATATGTTGGGAGGGGAAACTGTTCCTTGATTCCCAGCTCTTTCTTATCACTGCTTGTCATTAACATTAGGACAAAAATATATTTAAGGTGTATTAACATTTTCTTAGTAATAATGGGTTGTAAAATACATAATCACTTTGTAAAATAAATTACATGAGACATCACTACTCGCCATGTTAATTACATAATATGTAAAAATACTGGTTTCAGTCACAACTCTGGGACATGAAAATAATAATAGTAATAATAATAATAATAATAATAATAATAAGGAAATCTCTGTGTGCCCTATCCCGGGGCAGAATCCAGTGCACCACTTAAAAAGGTGTCTATTAGCTCCACCTCACAGTGACCGGCTCAGAGCGGGTCTGATTCCCCCGTAGTGGCACCAGTCACCTGCTGGTTCTCATTCAGTTAAACAGGAGGGCCGTGGGGAAATGGCTGCTGGCACAGCCGTTTTCTGGACAGACTCAGCAGCTGCTGCTGCGTGAGAGCCTGCCTAGGCTACACCTGATTTAATCCAGGGGAAGAAACTGGAGCCTAACGCCTGCAGTTTCCCTCGAGGTGAAGCAAAATGCATGCATCAAATCATCTCCTATTAACCTCTAGCTTGCTTCTCTGTCTCTGTATGAAGATTTCCAAATTTTAATATTATACCTCTTTCTTCTTAAGCATTAAAAATATGGCTACTGTAACCCAAGTGGTGTTTAAGTTTATGTTCTTATTTCTCAATACTTTCTGTAGCAAACAGAGGGGTGACCATATGCGACAGCCCAGATTTTTTAAATATGACAATCAAATGTTCGGTCCCCAAATTCTTACAAGGTCGTATATGCTTATGAGACCAAATGTTCTAATGTTTGGTTTAAAAAATGTGGTTATCTTTTGCATCATGATTTTGAATCTTACTCAAGTAGGTGCTCCAGAATGGGGCAGGAAAGGACTGTTTTGATTTGTCCATCCATTATTCATTCAATGCATACTGAACACTTACTATTTATTCTGCTACAAACAGAGGGTAGAGAAATGCGTATGATATGGCCCTTGCCTCCAGTTGGCATAAAGTCAGTGTAATTTGGAAATGTGTACATGATATCCGGCTTCCAAGAGGAAACTATAAAATACATAAAATTGTGAAGAATACACATAATCAGTTATGAAAACAATGGAACATATGTTTTGGTTCTGTTTCTTCCATGGCAGTTAAAAACCACAAATTTATGGAAATTAGCATCATGCCTAAATTCTAGACAATCTGTGCTTGCCTTTCATCCCAATAGTCATGTTATATCTTATGTTATTAAGGTAAGTCAAAAATATAAACAACGGAACCCAGATACGTAGAGTGGCGGTCAGAGGAGGCTGCCAAGGGAGGTCAAGGAAGAACTTTTTTTTTTTAAAGATTTTATTTATTTGGCAGAGAGAGACACAGCGAGAGAGGGAACAGAAGCAGGAGGAGTGGGAGAAGGAGAAGCAGGCTTCCCGCTGAGCAGGGAACCCGATGTGGGGCTCAATGAGGGGCTCGATGCGGGGCTCCATCCCAGGACCCTGGGGTCATGACCTAAGCCGAAGGCAGACGCTTAACAACTGAGCCACCCAGGCGCCCCGAGGGAAGAACTTCTGAGGAGGGAATGATTGAGCTGAATGGACTTTTTAGGCAGGACAGCAATGGGGACAAATAGTCCATTTTGGAGATTAGAACAAGGCACAGTGACCCTTTCTAAGACACTTTTGGACATTCTTTGTAAACAGCTGCACCTTAATAATGCCATTCATTTTTAGACATGCAACTTGTCATGCAAATATGTCTTACATTCAACATGCCCTTATTGAGATATTTTACAGGAAATTTTGTGGGAAGGAAAGAGAGGGAAAGATGTTTGATTTCCAGGGGATTTGTGGGAAAAGAATGAAAAAATCAATTTGGGCAGGTTAAAACTGAACTCCATGTGAGAGTGGGGAGGGTGGTCAATGCTCAAGGATGGACTCTTCCTGGCTTTGTGGTTAGGAGATGCCAAGTGAGTTGAGTATCCCAAATGCGAATGAGCCCTTGAGACACAGGGAGCCCTATTCTGTTGACCGGATTGTTAAATTGGTTCTGGAATCTTTTTGTGATTAGTGCACAGCTAACATGAGATATTAGAAGCCTTGTAACCTTGAGCAAGTTAGTGTGTCTGAGCCTGAGTTTTCTCAATCACAAAACAGATTTAATAATCTACTGCAATGAATTATTATATGTATTAGGAAAAAATATAAATAAAATGCGTAACAAAGAACAGCTATTTGATTATTTTTAATCATTATTAGGAAAATAAGCCCAATTTCTGGGGACCTTTTATAGGAACAAAAACAATGAATACAATGTGAGTTTGAGGAACAGTCCTCAGGCTGTCACTAGAAAAGCCTCTGTAGGCTTCCCTGAGGACATCCAAGTGGAGGTATTGAGGGCATCTGGACAGACAAGTTTGGATCCAGAAGCAAGCTTTGAAATGGAGACAAAGATCTGCACGTCGGTCATCTGTGTTTGTGTAGGTGCTTTGTCATAGCAATGGGATTTGGACTGAAACCAAGGGATTGTGTACAGAATGAAGAGAAAAGAGAGTTAAGGTCTCAATCTGGGGGGATGCCAACATTCAAGAGATGAGAAAAGGAGGAGGACCCTCAGGAGGAGCCTGAGAGTTAGCGGTCAGAGAAGTAGGGGAAACTAAATGAACGTTCAAGAAGGATGTGGCCAACAGTGTCAAATGCTGCAGAGAATGGAAAAAAAGAGACATTTAAACAACCAATGTTATCGAATATCCTCTATGTGCCACACGCTGTTTCTTGATCTATAAATACAGCAGTGAAAACCATAAACAGACAAACTTTCTCTTCTCATGGAGCTTGTTTCTGAACACATTAAGAGGAGCTAGAAAACAAGTAGTGTATGATGTGATAGAGATAATAAGTACCAAGAAGAAGAAAGGAGGAGCCTAAGGGATAGAGAGGCGGTGGGTGTTCATTTAGGTAAGTAGTGTATTTTGGATGAAGTGATATATGAGCACAGACCTGAGGGAATAAGACAATGAGCCATGCAAATATCTAAAGGGGAAGGGCGTTCCAAGCAGAGGTAACAGCAGATGTAAACACCCTGGGTACGTGACATGCTCCAGAAACAGCAAAAACGCTGTCATGGCTGGAGCAAAGTGAATGAGATAATTGAATGTTAGGAGATGATATCAGAGAGGTAGCACTGGGACCAGGTCACATAGAGCTCCTGGGGCATGATACAGTGTTTGTTTCTTGAGACGCTAAATTCACAAAGAGTTTTTAGCAAAGGTGTGGCATAATACTATATATGATTTAAAAGGATTTCTTTGACTGGGTGTGGTGAGAACAGATTGTAGGGGCAAGGGAGACATAG